GTTAAGAAGATGGTTAGCTAATAGAGACAAGTTTCATCCTATAACCAGAGAACATTTTCTAACTGTTGACTGGTAAATATAAATAAATATTCTTATTTTTTATGACAGTAAGAAGAAATAATAAATATACTTTATTACTAGCTGAAGTCATCATTTTTCAACTAGCTAAAGTCTGTTACAGGCTGACTTCAGGTCTGGTTTAGATCATTGTTACTTATTAATTAAACATTTTTCTGGTATAAATCTGCTGTTTTACATGATTGTTGAATGAAATAAACATAATTATTAATTTATTGTAAAAGCATGACCGATAATCTGTGAAACAGATCCGGTTCAGCTTTCTGTTTATCTATTAGTTTCTATGGAGGCTGTGAGCTGTTGCCCTTTTAGATGCTATTTTTGCTCCTCCATGCTGTCACAGACGCTACCAGTGTACGGTATGGGCAGGGCTCAGTCTAGTGATCTATATATTTAAGTCTATCCTTACAACTCTAAGCAAAGTTAAATATTGATAAATTAGTTTTGATAAACTCCTCAAAGCACTATTTCACTTCCTCCAGGCTGTGTTACAAGTTCTTGTTGTAGATAACCCCCCACATACACATGCACACAAACTCCCTTTTTATTATTGTTTCTAAAATAGTCCACAGAAATACCACATTTTTTCTTGACTTTGTGTGTTATTGAAAAAAGACAATAGCAGATTACCTTGTACTACATCATATGCCTTCAGTTTGATTGATGTTATGCACAGCCTATATTATGATAGCCTTCAATGAACATTATTGAGACACTTTGCGGCAGTATTTACATTTAAAAATCATTCAAAATTAATTGCATTGTGTGTCAAAGAAAAACAAATTATTTATATTTTATATACAAATAAAATATTATAGATGGAATAGACAATAAATGTGCTTTGACTGTCAGAATCACTGCTTTGTGTATGTTTAACAGTACAACATGTTGTCACTTCTGTATTTATCTTTTTGATTGCACCATTCTAATTGTACTAAAATCTGTCTTTTTCTAATCCTTGGCCATATGGCACCTAAGAGAAGAGCAGGGTAGAGGGGGAGGATGGGGTGAGCCATCTAGGTCAGCCTGCATTATGGTAATAAAGAGAAAACTAATCCTTGTTGTTTCACTGTAACACAAATACATATTGTACATGCACATGTACATTATATACTGCAAATATTGTATAAAATATGTATGTATATATGTATA